GAGGGAGGGTTGGGAGGGAGAATAAAGGTGGAACTGAATGAAAGAGAGGGGTCAGGAGAAAGGGAAGGAAAGGGAGAGGAAGGGAAGGAAGGAGGAATGGATAGCGGAAGAGGGAGGGAGGAGGGAAGCTCTCAGGGGGTGTCTGAGACCTGGCTGCTCCAGGGTGTAGCTAGAAAGCCAAGGTACTCCGAGTTCTCATAGGAGGAGATGCAATGCCAGAGAAACAACAGCTGGTGAATTTCCTGGGAAAATCCACCGCTGAGGGTCCTGCAGACCTGTGTGGGCCAATCGCTCTCCCCAGGGCACCTGTGTGGAATGTAAGTCATCGGTTATGACCGGCCTTACTGAGCACCTACCACACGCCAGGCTCGATAGGTGACCCATGTTTACGATATTATCCACTTAACCCTCCTGACACCCCAATGAAGAGCCGCCATATGGGCATTTTACTGCCTATAAGACTAGTTCCAGGCAGCTTCAGCGCCTAGCTCAGGGCACTTGAGCGGAAGGCAGAGCCTGAGCCCCCACCCACCCCAGGCCTGCCCAGCTAGAAAGGCCTTGCTCTCAGACAGTTCCCATACTGCATGGAATCGGTCATCAGGAGGTAGCTTGGTGAACCAGGACTCCAGGGTATGCAGACCAGGTGAGACCTCTCAGTCCCACAAGACAGCACTGCCCCCCAGGACCCCTGACAGCCCAGCAGCTTCCTTGGGCAAATGAGAAAAAGGCGGTCCCTCCTCCAGGTGGACACAGCCCCGCACCCAAGGGCACCTGACTTGGCCAATAGATGGTGCAGCAGCCCAGACCCCAGTGTGCTTGTGCCCGATCGGGAGCTCCCTCCCCATGCTCAGGGCTGCATCCTGATTTCCCTTTTCTTAGCTCTTAGCTGGGGATAGTGCTGAGGGGCCTTCCAAGCAAGTATCACAAAAATGGTGATAGTTATACAATGAATAATGAGTGGGCTGCTTGTGTTGGATTTGACGTCAGCATGGCAGGTGAGTGTAATTCACAGGGACTGGCTGACCGCAGTTTCCATCCTGTGTCTGGGGCATCATGGTGCCCCTGCAGTGGAGCCTCTTGGCAAGGTGGCCATGGCCAGTCACCAGACCTGCCTGAGCCTCAGTTCCCCACCTAAAGAGTGAGGCGTGTGCTAGTCAGAGTCCTGGAGTTTCTATACCACTTGCCCGGAAAAATAACCCCATGCAGGGGGGTGCTTAAAGAAATAAATTCTGAACTTACTCTGTTTCTAATTGTGGTAAAATACATAACATGTAATTTAGCATTTTCACCCTTTTTAAGTGTACAGCTCAGTGGCAGTAAGTACATTCACATTGATGTGCAACCATCACCACCATCATCTCCAGAACATTCTCAGCTTCTGCAACTTCACACCATTAAACTCTGACTCCCTCTCTCCCTTCCTGTGACCTATTTTTAAAAAGCATAATAGAGCTGAGTCAAGGTTATGTCTGTAATAAAGTCCCTTTCGGTCATTTGCATTCTAATAAATATATGCTTGAAAATCCAATAAGTATATTTGCAATTCCAATGAACATCACCCCAGCCTGTCTGCTCTGAGCATCGGGACAACCCAGGGGAACGTTCCCTGAAAACACCTGAGAGAAAAACAACATCCACTGCACTAAACTGACCACCCACTCAGGAGCTTCTACTCAAACAGGAGCTGGGGGCTGTCTTGTAAGAGCCACTATTTACTGAGCCTTGACTATTGCTGGACACAGTGGCTGTGATTTCTCATGTCTTCCAGCCATTTCTCTCCTTCAGGCTCTGTGTAAATGTCCTGCTTTGATTAACTCATTCGGTCCTCACAACGTGTTAGGCAGGTACCATTATTATAATGAGCAGGTACCTGGGATGTGGGGCATTTTTACCACAAATTGCCAGTCTCTGAGCCCAGTGGTCCCGTCTGTGAAATGAAAGTTTGAGCTAGATGATTCCAGTGCCTCTTCCAAGCTCGGACATTCCAGCTCTCTCATCGTGTGACCGAGAACGTGCCAGGTAGTGGCCTCAGCCTCAGTCGCGTGGCTGTGACTTCACTGGGGTCCCCTAAAATGCCACCAGCCACTGGCCCTCAAGCTTTCCAGGGCATGTCACTGTCCATCTGGCAACGTCCCAGGCCTGGCCCTTAATTTCCAGTCTGGGTTCATGGCCGTGACGAGGAGTCGTTCAGATCTGAGTCTCCGCAGATCAGAGAGCCTGTCTGACCTTGAGAGTTAATCTGCTCTGAGAATTTGTGTAGCTAACAAGGTTATAAGCTGAGCATTATGAATGAACAAGATCAGATCATAACCAGAATATTAGAGAATGGTTGAGCTAAGCGAGAATCCCAAAGAACTCACACCTTACCCCTCTGCATTCATGCAACAAACAGTTGTTTCACAGCCACCAGAGGCTGTGCTAGGCCCTGGGGTAGGTTCGTAGAGTAGCAGTCCCACAGCCCAGAGCTGTCTTCTCCTCTGAAACACCTTCCTTGGTACCAAGCCCCACCCACCAGGCAGGGCGGCCCACCACAGCCCTGGGTGCATATGCAGGACCCTGAGGACAGGGGCAGCCTTTGCAGTTGGGAAGACAAGTTGCAGGAAGTGCTCCTTCTTTCAAGCTGTGCAGTCCTGCAGAGGGCAAGCGTGGGAGTGGAGCACTGGCTGCATTTCAGCTCCTGCTTGTTGGCTCAGGGCACCCCTTTTGCACAGTGCACGACACGTACAACCTCACCCTGCAGCCCTGCGTGTGCCCCTGGGTAACACCATCATAGTGTATTATCATCACGCTTGGTCCTAAAAACACGCTCTAAAGCAGAATAGTCACAGTCGACCATCCACCTGACATTCTTTAAGGAGTAGCGTTCCCAGGGAGCTAAAATCATTCCCAAACCCCTCTGGTCTTTAAGTTTTTTCCTTCCCTGTGAAACACATAATTGACCTGCTTGAGCGCAGGCAGTGCCTACTGCAGTTAACTCTGCTGATCTGAGCACAGGGCAGCTATGATTGACATGTGATGGGTTCCTGGACCCTGCCCACCTTGCCCCCTCTCCCCGTGGCAGCCCCCCAAGGCTCAGCTCTCTAACCCCTGGGACAGCAGCAAAGTGTTAAAATTGCTCAAAAACCAAAGGCAAGGAAGCAAGGTGGAGTGTCCTTTGCCAACAGGCAGCACCGCCACGCCATGGACAAATTTATTCAGGTCAGGCGATGTTGGCATGAAGGCTCAGTCAGCCTGCTAAGTAGATATTCAGAATGTTGCTGCACCCTCATGCATGGGTTATTTAAAATCCAACTGGCCAAAGTCAAAGTAGAGCACCCGCTAAACTGCCTCCTCCCCCATTAGCCTGTGAACAAGTCACAGGGGAGGGGTGTGTTTTCCTCACCTTGCATTCCTGGATCCCTGCACCGTGTCTGGCACACAGTGAATAACCATGGGATGAGTGAATGAAGTGAATGAAAGGACGTGGAAGGGAATGAGGGAGGGAGAAAGAAAGGGAGGGAGGGAGGGAGGTCCTCAAGGAGCACCCAGCTAAGTTTCCATTTTACAGATGGAAAAACTGAGTCTCTTTGATGGCATAGTATTAGTTAGGGGAAAATCTGGGACAGAAAGGCCGTCAGGCTTTCTCCTTGACCTCACTGCCTCAAGGGACGGGGGCTCCTGCGGGTTCTTATTCCGTGACGTTTCTGAAAGCTCACTCATCATATTGTACTGGCTTCTCTCCCAGGAGCTGTGCCTGTTGACGCCTCAGTCCCGTCCCGTGCTCTCCTGCTATGGCCGCGCTTGTCCTCATGGGTATGCTGATGGCCCTGGGTGTGGGTGAGTATTGGTATTTGACACTGTATTTCTGGCTTAGTGTACAATTGCTTAACCTGAACACGGGCACGTATTGTCAAATTCCTTCGGCTCTGCTCATGACTACTTTATCCCCTCGCCTAATGAGTGATGGAAACGAAACATTAATGAGGAGCCATAGGTTTAAATCAACTGATCTTTCTGAGCACGCTGCATAATGCATGGGAGATGAGGTGAGATTCGGGGAAAGCAAAGGCAAGGGGGCCAGTGAGCAATCTCCCCTCCACCTGATAGCATCCCCCACCTTGCTTTGTTGATGTCCTTGGAGTGACCTTCCTGACATGCAGCCCCTCCTTTCCTCCTTTTGTAAGTATGACCAGTGTAAAGGGCGAACACTTGCACCCCACATTCTAAACCTGGGTCCCGTGCCACCCAAACCTGGTCACTGAGCAAACTTCTTGGCGGCCTGGGATAATAACTTCAAGTTCACTTGGCGCCTTGCTTTCGAATGTGAGTCTTCGGCGCCGTCGATCTCCTTCCTCGTTTGCACAGTTGTGCAGCTCGCACACGCCCGCACGCCCTCCCTCCGTCCTGCAGCGGGTTGGGGGGTAACTGAGGCCACGCTCTCCCGCATTCTTCTTTCCTTCTCATATTCAGCTGACCGCTGGCCAGCACTGTGAGGGAACGGGTCCCGTCCTCGGAGATAAACAATTTACAGTCCAGGGTGACTTTTTGCGTTGCTAATGAAAATGTGTGGGCGTCGATATCCTGAGAGTAGGAGGAGCCTGCGGGGGGCCAGCATCCCCGATTAGCGCATGGCAGTAAGGCTCGCCCCCACCCTCCGGAACAGGAGCTCAGTGACCAGCTGCACCAAGGGGCGCCTGAGAATTGCCCAGGAGCCGGCAGGGTTTCCCTGCTGCTGGAGTAACCTTAGCCGCTGGCTGATCCGCTATCGAAGTTTCTGAGGCAGTCAGGCCAGATGCGCCCCAGCAACTCCGTGGGCTCCGGGATGAGATCCCAAGTGGAACTGGAGTCCCCAGCGCCCCTCCTGCTCAGAAAGCCTGCGTTATTTTCTTCACGGGCTACCACAGACTAGCACCTAGCACACGGAAAGTGCTGGGAAAAAATGCACGGGTTCAATGGACGTGCGTCCCGGTTGTGGTCCTGGAAGCCACCGCCCAGCCTCAGCCCAGAGAGCCGGCTGTGACATGTTTGTACCAATCCCATTCTCTCTCCTCCTTATCAGGGAGCCACCCTCTGGACACGCCCCACCGTCCACATGAGCTGCCTCCAGGACTCTCAAAAAATATCAGTAAGTGTTCTTTGAACTTTCCTTAGGGGACCTAGTGGGTAGAAAGTTGTCTAGGACATGGGCAGAGAAAATGACCCCTCCTGAATATACCCGAGAGCCACTCACTGCTGTGACATTTGTAGGTAAAGGGAGTCAAGTGAGATTCAAAAACCTCTCCCTCGACAGTCAGCCTTGGTGTCGGACCCACATCGGTCTCTCCTTTGAGACAAAGTACTAAAAATTCCCATCAAAAGACAAAGGTCAGCTGGGAGGGGAGCCAGGAGAAGGAAGTCAATGGTCTTCTCATGAGGGTTATAGGGCAACTAACTGTATTTCAGCTTTAGGCAGAGCAATAGGTAGATGGCATCTCACAGCTATTAGAGTAGCCCTACATTCCTTGGGGGAGGGGACATTTTCCTGGTGGCAGATTATACAGATTTCTCAGGTAGGTTCTTTTATGGCCATCACAGAAGAACAAAGCCCATAGTGAACTAGCTGGAGGCTAGCCTGAATTCAAGGGTCACTTTCGACCTTTCAGGGAGGTAAGTCAACTGGATTATTTGTGCCTGAGCCCCTGCAATCAAAGAGCTGAGTCCCACCCAGACCCCATGACAAGTGGCCTCCCTCCAAATGGCATAACCCCCATGAGAAGTGCAATGCCCACCAGGAGGCCTTGGGTAGACCTTTAAACTCCCAGGCCACACTTGGCACATAGAAGGGTCTGGTCCAAGAAACTGTGTCAGCAGGCCATGGCCGCTGTCCCTCTTCAGTGGCAGTAGCCCTGGTAGCGACCACACAGAGTCCAGGAACCCCAGGTACCAGCTCANTAGCCCTGGCAGCGACCACACAGAGTCCAGGAGCCCCAGGTACCAGCTCGGGTGCAGGGAATGGGCTCAGGTGGAGCAGCCCCGGACCCTTGCTGGCCTAGAAGCTTCATTCGCCATAAGAATCAGTATCCCTGGGAACAACTTCATAGCTTCAGTTTCTAGGATGCCCAGAGGGACATGCCTAATTGCAGGAGTCATCCCCCCCAGAATTTACAGTTCATCCATAGTTCCTGCCAGCCCAGGTCCACTTTACCATCCTGGGGACTTTTTTATCATTGAGCAGTGTTGCCTGGTAACACAGGCCCTGTTTCATCTGATCAGGTCTCCATGGCAACCTGTGCTACTAGGAAGTTAGCCCAAGGTCAAATCTCTCCTTAGAGAAAGAGGAAGGGTTTTCCTTCCTCTCCAGAGGGTGGACCGGGAAGGGGAGAAACTACTGCTCTGTAATTTGCTTTCTCTTGCTTCCACTTAGATGTCACATTCTTCAACGGGATGTTTAAAAATGTGGAAAGTGCGACCGAAATTTTTGGTAAGTTAGATCTGAAATTGCTTTTACCTCCCAGGTGTCAGAGCATGGTGCCTGTGGGGGAAACCTAAGGAAATGACCTTGGTCTCCGCCCTCTGGGCTCCCACGGCCTCCCCAGAAAGCTCCCCACAATTGTGATCCTGGCTCTGAGCAGAGAGGTGGCTCCTTTATTGCAGGCGCCTCCGAGTAACTTCATAGGTTAGTCCTGACCACACCCTGGCCAGGAGAGGAATGGTAGCCCCATTTTACAGGCAAGAAAACTGAATCTAAGGAAGTTAAGTGACTTGCCCAAGGCCACATGGCTAGAAGGGAAAAGTTCTCTTCTAAATCCAGAGCTTAGGCCCCCTCCACCCAAATTTTTTTATTTTCTTTCCCCAACTAATAACTATACATTAGGCCTAAGAATTTCAAAGGGCATCTAGTATTCTATTTATCAATAACATATCTATCAAGCAACTATCAATCATCACAGTGGTTCCTATAATTTGATTGCTAAAATTACTCAAAAAATATGATTATAACCTGATGGACATGAGCCGGGAGATTCTGAACTGCTATTGGATTAGACACTGCTGAGCATAAGATTGCACCTGATTTTGTACATATGATGAAGTGCAGGTGTCCTGTAAGTTTTGAATAAAAATGTGTGTTTACGTAAATACACACACCTTAGAGTGGCTTTCCCCACCAGCGTAGAATCATTTCTTCATTGTTTTGATTAGGGTGTGGAAATGAACAATGGGGAGAAATTTCGGCCAGGTAGGAAGCAACCAGAATAGTCAGGTGGAGCTGGTCCTCACCAGCAACTCTGGCTCCCCCAGCTCCCTCTCGCAACCCCTGCACTTCGGTGTGGTGGGCTCATCTCACTTAGCCCTTAATGGCCCTGAGGTCAGAGAGGCAGAGAGTGGAGACGGGTGCGCATGAGGTTTAGAGACAAAACACTGGATACTGTTTTCCTGCCAGTTTTGTCTGCCAGAACATTTTTGTTTAGGGCAAGTTACCGTCGCTGGTGGATGCCTCAGGTGTGGCTCTGACTTCAGTTTCCTTACCTGTGAAATGGAGGTGATAGAACAACACCTGCCTCGTGAGGTTAATACGAGGTTTTTGGGATAAGAGACAAAGTGAATGCTCTCTAAAGCATGTCAGTCTAAGTGCTATTTCAAGCACAGTCCCTGGAACATAGCAGGTGACTCCAAATTATGTCTGTACCCCTTCTCTTTCTGCACTGACTTTCAGTTCTCTAGTGCCAGTATTATATCATTGGGGATCCATTCAGCAAGCTAACAGTGACTTAAATAATATATTTAATTATCCCACATAAGCCATCTGAAGGCACTGGGACTGGTGCAGTAGCTCATTACAGGTTTCCGAGACCAGCAGGCTCATTCTGTCTCACCCCACTGCTACCCTGGGCACATTGGTTTTTCAGCTTTATACTTGGGACCTCATGGTTGCAAACTGGTTGCTGCAGTTCCAGCCAGCATTTCCTCACCCACATTCAAGGAAGGAGAATGGTGTTGATCAAATGGATCTTCTTCCATGCCTTTATTGTTTATTAGGAAACAAATACTTTTCCAAAGCCCCCAACAGACTTTCCCTTAAGTTGTTTTGGCCAGGTCTGGGCTCCATGCTCAGCCTTAGACCATCATGGGAGCATGAGATGGGCACGACCAGCTGAGAGTGGTCATGTGACATCCCAGGGACTTGGGGAGAAGGCTCACGTCCTTGAGTACTGTGCAGCTTTGATGGCAAGGAAGAAGGGAGGATGACTATTAGGCGCGCAGCCAGCAGGGACCCCGGCTTATAAGCCCCCTTCACTTTCATAGCCTAGCACAGTCCTGAGTACACAGCAGGTGCTTAGTAGGCTGAGAGGCACCATCAGCACACGCTGTGGGAAGCTGGGAACGGGCCCCCTCCTGCACGCTGGCTCCCAGCGCCGCCCTGCTGTCCCCGCAGACTGCCTGGGCTCCCACTTCACCTGGCTGCAGGCCGTCTTCACCAACTTCCCCGCGCTGCTCCAGTTCGTGAGTGGCATGCGGTGTGTGGCCGGTCTCTGTCCCCGGGACCTGGAAGACTACGGCTGCGCCTGCAGGTTTGAGATGGAAGGGCTGCCCGTGGACGAGTCTGACAGGTGAGCAGGACCCCGGGCGAGCCGGGGCAGCCTGGCTGGAGCTTGGCAGAGCGCGGGCCCAGAAAGCTCCCCAGGGGACCAGGCGGTGTCTCAGTTCTGTCACTTACCCGCTGGGAGACTGCTTTCCTCATCTTTACATCGCAGTTACTCTGTGATCTGCTCATGTCCTGGGAAGTTATCAGGATCCTGGGTTATGTCCAATATACAAATCTTTACTTTCGTTTCTCAAAGTTTGGGTCCACCTGTGGCAGAACCACCTGGATGCTCGCTCACAGGCAGAGTCCAGAGACCCATCCAGATACCTATCGACTCACCTTCAGGTAGAACCAGGGAGTCTGAATTATACACAAGCTGTCCAGGGGGCTCTGAAGCATAACAAAACCTGAGAACTATTTGTAATTCAGGATAGTCCTGGACACCAGGGGTAAAGCAACTATGAAGGTTTCTGAGAAATTTTCAACAAGCATGTACCAAATACCAGTAAGATGTGAATGTTGTGCTTATATAAACAGGACACTACCCTTGCCTCAGAGAGGTAAGTGCCTAGTGGGAAATATAGAGAAAACATAAGTGTCCGATCAAGATGCCCCCTCCCTGCATGCAAGGGGAGCGAATTCAAGCCAGATAGCAACTTCTACCCATCAGATTGGCAATCAAATTTAAAGTCTTAGAAGCAGCAACTGTTAGCAAGGATAGCCGAGCAGACACTGGTGGCAGGAGGGTCTATTAGGAAAATTCTATGGAATCTGTTAAGAGTTTTAAGACATATCGCCTACGAGCCAGTAATTCCAGTCCTGTTCCTGAGGGCTCTGTGACCTGAGGCAAGTTATTTAACTTCTTATGCTCTAGTTTCTTCATCTATAAAATGGCCCTAATAATAATGCCTACCTTATAGTTATTATTTAGGATTAAATGGCCAAATACAAGTTAAAGAGTTTGGGACGCTGCCTGGCTTACTAAGTATTCAAGAGTATTAGTGATTAAGCGATAGTAAGAGTGTGGTTGGGCTGGAGCAGGAGTAGGAGTAGTGACAGTGACTAATGACATTAGTATTCCTAGTAGCAGCGGCAGGAACAGTCACTGTGGGGCTGCAGGGGGGC